TAGGACGATGAGCTGTGTGTGTAATTTTTGACTGTGTTCACAAACCAGATTCACTCATTCACATTGAAGTATAAAAGAATACAAACATATAAACGAATGGCCCAACAGTCCTTTTAAATCCAATCAAATTTCACACGCTCATAGAAATCAGTTTCCTGATGTATGAAATATGCCTGTTATATAAAGAGTTATCAATTATGCCCTGGGAAATGGGTGAAAATGTAAAAAACTGAAAACATCCAATCTCAACTTTTAAAAATTTTCACAGAAAATATGTTGAGTAGTTTTACGAATTCCTGCTGTGAGACAAGCAAACCAACAAACAAACGGACAGCGGTGAAAACAGAGGCCTCCGTGGGGTGGATAGTTTATGAACGTACCAACATTATGAATCAATTACAAACTTAACGTGTGAGCCAATCAACCAAAAATGTATCCGGTTTAGTTCTGATATGGAGTAGACGTGTGTTAGGGAGCCCCATCCCGAGAGGCGACTAGAGGGGCTGGAGATCAATACGACGCATTGGTTTCCCAGTACAAGCAGCAACAAGCTMAGCTAGATGACCWTGAGGCCCGCTCCCACAGGCAGAATATTCGTATTGTCGGGATTAAGGAGAAAACAGAAAATGGCCGGCCTCCAGAGTTTGTATCTGAGCTGCTTCCTAAACTGCTTGGAGAGGAGCATTCAGGGGAGGGTAGGGAGGGATGGCCAGGGTGAGGAGGGTAAGGAGGATGGGGAGTTAGGATCTTGGGGTTTTGTAGGGAAAATCATTTGGAGCCGAATCTCTGAATTTATTTTTGTAAGATGTATTTTTATGTTTTATGTCTAACTCTCCTTTTTGTGACATCAGGGTGAAAGCAGTCGACAGTTTTATGATGGAGGATTACTGCGTGTTGGTGACGGCTTCCAATGACGGATTCATCAAAATGTGGAAGCTCCACCTTAAAGAGGCACGTCTGTATTGTCGTAAATGGTTTGGGAGGAGAATCCATTTACATTTGATTTTAATTACATTTTTTTAGACATTTACATTTGCGAATTTGAAGACATTTACATACATAATTATGTGACACAAAGAATATTAAAATGACAGTCATCCACTGAGCTGCTGATCATCCACTGACGAACTGCTGTTGTCCAACAGGAGCTGGAATCTCCCACCCTCCTAGGGGAAGTAAACACCACAGCCAGACTGACGTGCCTGGCYGTGTGGAAACCTTCATCAGTGCAGCAGATCGCTGAGGAACCAGCAGCTGAGGCGACAACATCTGAAGGTGATGACCAGCAAATACGGACGTTTATCTCACAGGATTATAGTATAATGAACGAGAAACTAGATACGAGCTSGGACAGGGAGGTGGTCGGGTTTGTTATTGTGTTGAAGGGGGAGAAAAGTAGAGAAGAGGAAAAATGAGAACATATTTATCTCAACCTTAATTCTCACCTGAGCATRTCTCCACTCAGCATTTCATATTTACAGTCAATGCAGCTTGAAATGAAAGAATATTCAGTTTACACAAGAAAACAAGCTACCAACAAGGATTTTCTAGAACAACATGCTTTTTTGTTTAACTCTCCTGCACTAAGTGATTACAAAGCCTCTATAATTTCATGTCCTGGTTCTGTCCGTGTCTTGTTAACGCTCATCACCACCTGCCTATGTCTGTCTACAGAACTCGCTCGAGAGCTTTCAAAAACAAAGAGAGTTCGAATTGTGACAGAAGAAGTCGTTCTAGAAGATGAGAGCAAACCCAAGAAGAAGAAAAAGG